ATTTCAGGTTAATTAAGCGCCAGAACGGCATTAAGTCAGTACTAAAGCACACTAATAACACCCTCCTGGCTCTCAGCTCGTGATAGAGTAGAATCCGCCGCAAAGTTTATTCCAATAACATGATACCCTTGAATGATGTAACTTCAACTGACAGCACATGTCAGTCTAAAGAAAGCTTCATCTATTTTGGGATTTTGAGGCAATCTGTAAACAAGCCACCTGCAACCACCGCTGCATCGCTCGGTCAAGATTGTTCACTTTGGTTTCGACCAGACTGTTACACGTGTCCCCCAGCTTTCCTCCCTGTGCCTTGGGGCTCTTCAATAAACCCAATTCCTAGAGCAATCATTGCCCTCCACTGCTCTGTGTTCATACTTTACTGGTTTATCCAGACCTGCCAACCTCTGGAGTTCAAAAACTGTATTCTTTAGTCCCAAAAGTTGTATTTTACTGACAAAGTTTTTTTTTTTTTTTTAAACACGGATCAATTAATGCCTCTTACAGTTCCTACGTATAGGAAAAAAAAATTATATGGATCATTGGTTGAATATGCATGATTTCGTCATGACTGGTGTGTTTGATGAACCAATGAACATCCCCAAATTGCCGATGTGAGATGCTTGTAGGATACTTTACAGGACAGAATGGGCATTTTGAGATTGAAAATGGCACACACGCAAATTATCTTCTTTTTTTTTTTTTCTTCTTTTTTTTAATTTTGAAAATCATATTTTATTGAGGAAAATCGTACTGTCGGATTTTCTTCTAAAAATCGTAGGAAATACAATTAAATTGTACTGGTTGGCAGGTCTGTTTACTCCTAATCTCATAAAAGACCATCTTTTACAAGAAATCAATCCATTCAAAGTGTATCTATTAATTAGTTTCTCCTTGAACAGAACTAGAGGAAAGCAGGGCACAATCTATAAATCTCTTCTACCATACAAAAGTTACCATTATCATTTCTACAACAAAAAAATGGGGCAATTGGAATGATGCGATTTTCAAACAGGCTGCATTGTTACAGTATGCTGCAACAAAGATAAATTTGAGATATCAATGATGATCTAGCAATGACGACAAAGATATTAATTTTCAAACGAAAATACAAACATCGTTAAATGAAGGTTTCTATCTTATGTTTAATTAGTCTGTACTCACTTGTTTATTTACTACCCACTCTTTCTTTTCTCTTCACTTTGTATAAGTATCTGAAGCCGTTGGAACCCAGCCTTTGAAAAGGCAAATGGCCTCTGCTGGCTCCTCCATATTCCTTGTATTGTTTATATATATTTGCTTATATGTATAATGTATTTTTTAATGTATTTTTTACGAGAATTGGAAATAACATGAATTGAAATTGAAATTGAACGCCAATGATGGCAATAATGATAATAGCAAGAGATCAATTGCATTTTATACATTGCATATTTCACCACATTGACGTCACTTGTAACTTAAAAACTGCGGGAAATGTCACGAGCTTTAAATGGCCTTCAAATTAGCATTCGTAGCTCAGAAAGGATAGCATTCTACTGGAATATTCTTATCTCACAACCCTTGTTACAAAAGCTGCAAGTGTGAAAGCATCACTGGAAATTTTGAAGTAACATGTTATTGCACCTCTCGCTGTCTTGCAGGAAATCATCTCTATGGCACAATATATTCAAGTGTGAATGAGTCTCAAAGAAGTGCATTCTCCTTATTCTTACCTATTTAGAGTCTTCTCACTTGAGCAAATTGGCAACACATTTCTGCTCTGAGCCAGAAGGACATTAACTCTGTGTTAAAGCATATGAGTTAATGCCCTTCTGGCTCCAAAAGGACGATGTGAAAAGCAAAAGGTAGGTCTGAATAATAGCTAGGGGGAAGACATGGCCGATTATTAAAACCTTGGTCCTACACTGGCTAAACATGTACGTCACTGAAAAACAAAACTAGTTTTGAGTCTGGGCTCCTATTTGTTGTACATATTCTTGAGGAACATAAACCAAGAGGTAATAGAATGGTTTGTGTGAACAGTGCTTAATGAAATCTAACATGGGTGATACTGTGATGTTCAACAACTTTTATTGTATTTTCTTAGAGCAAGAGGGGTACGTGTTAACACATGCTTTCGCAGACGGTTAATTCTTCTGGCTCTGAGCACATGACCTACGCAACATCCTAGATACTTTGATCAAGAAAATGTACCTTATTATTCTATATTTTGGTTTATATTTTGTTTGCTATGCACATTCTAGTGGAACATGTCAACATGTGATAAAATGTTTTGTATGAACAGTGCTCTTTTGAAAGGTAACAGAGTTTATACTGTGGTCTTCAACAACCAACATTGTTGCGTCATCCACTCGGAGCCAAACTCCTGCTTTATTACAGAGTTAACAACCTTCTGGCTCTCAACAGATAGCATGCACTTTATGTGCAACATTAGGAATACTCGGATTCAGGACATGTACTCAATTATGCGAGAAGTACTCCCATTATGCAAACCTCTTCGTTTGGTAAACCACAAAGTGAAAACATTCAATTTCCATTCAATTAGGGGTTTACAGCTTGTCACCTGCTTGCAAAAAGGCCGCTATTGCCACTGCAATACATAATTCTTACAGCCTTCTTGCGTACAGCTAGCTTCAGCTACATTCATGACACAAATGAAAATAAAGAAGGAATCTGATAGAGACAAGCAGAGCTTTGTAGGAGTTAAAATAGAATATAGATTGTCTGTGTACCATTAGTTCTTACAACAAATTCATCTTCCTTATCTCTTTGGATATTCAATTTGCATAATAATTGTATACAAAACAGGTAAGTTGTGTTCCTTAGAAAGGGTAAGCGCACAGAATTTCATTCCATCCATAATGATTGTGGCAGATTGATAGCCCTACGACAGCTTGGATCAAGTAAAATTTCAAGAATGATACTTCGGATATTGATCTTTTTCAATTTTATACTAAAGGAAAAGAATTCTTACTTTGTAAAATAAGAAAAATTGGGACACAACTTCACAAAATAGCTTTGAACTTGCGCTGTTAAGAAATCTCTGGTTATCATAGACGTAACAAAGATACTTTCTGCCTCGGAATCTAAATACTCTCAGAGTATTCAAGCTAGAAACGAAGAAGAAAAAACATGAAAATAAAAAAACCTTATTTGTACTTATTCATCTGAAAAAATTCTCGGACATGTATAAAGTAAAGGGTTCAAAATTTGAACAGTTTGTTATTAAGGTTTGGTAGATTTAGGTTGGCCACAGTGCCATGTGACTCCAACACGACGATATGAACTTGAGATAGGAAACCATCCACCTCCAAAAATATCCTTCTGCTGATGTGCTTTCTATAACACGCCAATTACAACCCGAGTATTTCACCGTTAACTACCCCAGGCCATTTTCCTTGTGGACGGCGAGTGTAGTAAATATTGGTCTATAGAATCACCTGCATGAATAACCACCTCCATTTCACCTAGATTTCACGCACTAGAAATGACCGGATTTGATTCACGAGAACGAAATTGACCCTATTCTTCAGGGCATGAATGAACTATCCACCTTGGTTATCAAATTAAAAACCTGGATGATTTGTTGTTAACTACGTATTTCACTTCTGGAACTAATAAATAATTCTATTCATGGGGAGCAGAAATATCCTAGGAGTCATTAAGATATTTCCTTCATTAGAAAACGTTAGAAATTTTACACAAGAACTAACTTATTCACACCCTTACCAGGTTTTGTAATTCTCTTAAGTATGTGAAACATTGATTCGTCCTGATTTATGTTTCTTGAGAATGTGATATATATCAGAGCTTACATCACAACTATTCAATAAAGGCCCTATTTTTATAATTCAGAGAGTCAAGTTTTATTCTTGAGTTACGAAAAAATGGTTAATTTAGTTGTTGACTGTATTTTTCTTCTGTTGCCATCGTTCATCTGGTAAATACACAGTAAAAAAATACAATTACTCACAAATCTCACCCACTCTCTCTCTCTCTCTCTCTCTCTCTCTCTCTCTCTCTCTCTCTTTCTTTCTCCACCCCCACCCCCAACCCTCTCTTGGTAAATTAACATTTTGCTAAGATTTTTCTTAGTTTCCTTGCTGAACACAAAAAATATTTGTAATGTACCTTCATAAAACATGATTTCCTTTCACGAAGCAGAATGTCTGAATACTACTGATGACACATTTCTAAAATAAGCAAACTTCACTCACCAACAGGGATCAAGTACTACTCCTAATGATAGCAACTTTTGTTATATAAACAGATTAATAGGCAATGATATGTCCCACATGCCTACGCAAAATCGACAGAATCGATAAAGTGTTGCTCTAAAATCCTCCTACATTGCACTATTGCGAAAAAGTAGGCCACAACAGAGATTTAATTGCTCATCACAATTCACAAATTGGTTTCGCTCTTTTCGATGGTCGGCCCTTGGCGGTCACAAGTGTCACTTCGGATGCGCGCAGCTGAGCCTTAATGGGTCTGTAATCTAATGTGTATCGCCATGACATGTTCGTTTCACAACTCTTCCTGCCCGTTCCTAAGGGGGCAGGATTCGAGGAGGCAAGGGTCCGAACAAAAATACCGGTGGAATAGCCGCCGGTTTCGTCAACTCTGTCTGGCAGATTCCACGATATTTTTTTCCTGTTTGTTTGTTTTCAACCTCCCTTTGTTTTCCTGTATCTTCTTCCTCCTCTAAAATGATTTTTCCCTGTCTTTTCTGTCTGTTGCCCCACTAACCCCCCTCCTTTTTCTCTTTCTCACTTGCTTAAATTCTAATTTTATCTCAATCTACCCTACCCTTCTCTCTCCCTTGTATATTTCACATGTGTCGGTGTCTGTCTGTCCAAAGAGATTCCTCTCTAGTATATCTTTATCAGCATCTCTCTCTCTATGTCCATGCATCTCTTCTCCCCTCTCTATCTCTCTCTTTGTGTCTGTCTCTCTCTCTCTCTCTCTCTCTCTCTCTCTGTCTGTCTCTGTCTCTATCTCTCACACCTCCTCTTTCTTACTTTCTCTAGCCATCATTCCTCTTTCTATGTCTCTCTTTCTTTCTTATTCAATACAAGAGGTACTCACGATTATGGCTCAGATCCCTGGACATGAAATCGTGCACAGCATCTGCAATGAAGACAAAAAGGAAAAACACATTTTGTTATAAACAACTTCTAGGCGAAACCAAATCAAACCAATGACTATCCTATGACGACCTTTGACCTAAAATACAACCCCTTTGATAAACAGAAGCAATCATAACAAATGCGTTTTGAATAAACACCCATCGATGAATAAAGTGATATTGATCGAGTAATTGCTCCAAATGGCCTTGAGCATAGTTGCACAAAATGCTACCAAAGAGCAAAACTCTGCTTTCCAGCCTCGTGTATTAAATATAGATTAATTGCTCTGTCTTCTTGATGGCACTGTGAATATGTATAAATAATAAACACCACTTTCTAAAAATATGAACATACAAATGGCCAGGAGCAACGATGGGCAGATATTCATCATCTGTCTTCAAAGATTTTAACACAACATATACATGTACATGTATACAAAATCTGAACTTTGAATTTATGAACTCTTGATGTCATAGCACAAGCAATAATCAAGTAGCCCACACAGAATAAATGATGGAAAATATATGTAAAAGATATTTTAACAATTAACTGATTAAATATGTACTTGACAATAACAACTTATAATGCACTGACTCCACTAAGAGTACTAAATGTGCCAGAGAGATTAAGAAGGGATGAATTTAAAAGAAAAGACACAACAAATAAGACAAATAAAACACAAATAGAATTCAATACAATTGAATATCTAGATAAAAGGCTGTTGGAAATGGGTGAAAAAGTTGTTTAAAAAATTCAGGCATATCTTTTATAAAAATGTAAAAAAGGTAAAGTTGTTTCATATCTACTCGAGATGTGATACTAGTAAACTCCTGGGACCCGTTTCACAAAGCCTTTTTTCAATGACAAATGACGAAAATGAGTGACAAATCTGTTGATAACCAATCAGAGGCAAGGATTTCACTAGCTTATAGCAAAAATTCTCATTTGTCACTGATGACAAGTTTTGTGAAATGGGGTCCAGTTCTCTAAAATCAAAAGACAAATTCATTGTATATTTTAACCACTCTGGTCTAAATTTAATCTGATACATCAATAAAAAGCCATTCTTAATTTCTGGGCACTGTCTAATAACGAACTGTGATTAATATAAATGGATTGAATGACTTCTAATCAATCACAAACCTACAGTCTCCTATCTTTTAAGTACATACAGCCGTAATTATCGCAGCTCTCCATTAGACAGGGACCTGATTATCAAGTATGGAGAGCCATGATAAATCATGTTGCAAAAATCAACAGAAATACAGTCATATCTACTACCAAATCAAGAGCTCATTAATCAAAACCATTTGCTCTTAAAACTTAATGAAAACAGAACAAATTTATATTTTAATCTCACTAACTGGTCTGAGTTTGAACGACCCTATCAAAAGATGGATCAGAAATTCTAAATATATCTGTGACAACTACTTCTACTCACTCATGCAGTAAATCGTTTCCTCTGCCACAAAAACAATGTTCCCTCTGCCTAACTCGGATGCTACCATCAATACTGTTTCAATACACACGCATCTCAAGTTCTGGACCGGTCGAAACATATCCTCGCTTGTTTTACCTCGCTTAACGACCAATCGTTCATTGCCACCTCTCCTACTCCAATATTCCGGGGCCCCCTTGTTAGCTTAGACTTGTCAAATAACAATGTCTACAATGCGCACTGGATGGTTAACAGCTGGATGTGTTCACACAAGCTACATGTAGATTTCATGTTTCTCTTGTTCTATCTCACTTAACGACCGATCGTTCATCACGACGGATCGTTCATCGCCACCTCTTCTACTTGCTAGCTCAGACTTGTCAAATAACAATGCCGCACTGCGACCTACATGTGTAGATGGGGAATAGCTGGATGTGTTCACACAAGCTAGATTTCAAGTTTCTCTTGTTCTATCTCACTTAACGACCGATCATTCATCAACACCTCTTCTACTTGCTAGCTTAGACTTGTCAAATAACAATGCCCACAAACATTGCAAACTACATGGGTACATGGGTAATTGCAGGCTGTTTTCACACAAGTGAGTTTGAACGTATCTTTTAAAGGTAAAGACCAGTATTGGAAACGCCCCAATTTCAAAAAATAAAATGGAAGCTCTCATTACCAATCATGTGAAAGAATATGTTTTGACTAATACATGATGATAAAAAATTTGCCGGGAAACCGCCTACTAATTCATATATTTGGTAAATTTGTTTCTCTCATGGTCTGTGAGAGATATAGGGTAGTCCCATATACATCTTTCTGTGTATAGTGCTTGTAACTTTACGAAGAATGGGCCAAATTTCTTATCATTTTGATGATTCCAGAACCTTGCAGATGCTAGATGCTAGATGATCAACCTTTTCTGATCGATTCCACAACGTTTCTTTCACAATGCAATCGCATGACCATAACTGGTCTTTACCTTTAATGCTTCACCCCAAAGAGACAACGTTTACTATGTATTTTCTGTTCAGAGCCATAAGGGCATTAGCTATGTTTTAAATAAACACACTTCTGGATCCAAGCAGACAATGTCTTCCAAAGGACAATGTCTTCCAAAGGACAATATTTGACCATGTACTCATTTCTAAGAAAAGATCACTTATTAAAATAATCAAGCTTCAAGCCAAAGTAAACGCTGGCATCTACATGTAGTTGATGTGATCAAAAAATGAAAACAGGAGAATGTACAGTGAAAGGAGTAAATGTGGTGAAAAATAAGAAAATTATTGAGTTTCCAATTTTTAAGAAAATAATAGATTTGCCAATTAGTACTATTCTTCACAAAGTTCTTCGCCCCTTAAACTTGAAATGAACCATTTCTCTCATTATTTTGCTCTCTTGAGTCAACACACATTGTGATGGATTTCTCCTCTAATGTGAATTTTCTGCTAATCATATATGTACTCATGAGCAATATATCTTAATCCAATATGTACACAGCACCAACTGTTCAAACCCACATCCATTCTGTACATAATTCACATGTATTCAAGAAACAAGTGGTCCTAGCCAGGCTTCTGTAAAGGAGTACTTTGGTAATATGATACTTGCAGGGGCTGTAAATGTCAAAAGGGATTCAAAGTTCAAAAGTATTTGACATTGTACTAATAAGCTACAGTTGTTTTCTTTGAAACAATATGACAAAAGAGTTGAGAGTATCATTTGATGTGTATTAAATTATGAATTTCAGGAAACCATGAATTTTGCAAACTATTCACGACGTGACATTTTTGGTGTTAAGTACCTCAAGCCTGGCCAATTTATTGCAATATTTAGTTTCGTCTCAGGAGACTTGCAAGAATAAAGCACCGATCTCAAGTTCCTACTTCTCCAATCAACTCTTTGAAAATTTATTGACATGAGAGTCTCATCAATTAATTAGACCTAATGTAGCAGAAGCATCCCTAGACTAAGCATGACCGAGACGACTTTCTTCACCAAAATTACTTTGAGTCACAGAAGAAGTATGAAATACTACAGCATGTTCAATTCAATTCAATTCAATTATTTTTATTCATCCAAATTCACAAGAATACATGGAAATTCGTACAAATACGCAATATATACATTAGAAACTACATCGGGTATGAAAGGCAGTTGGTCTTTCATACCCTCACAATGATAGCATTGTGAGCGTTTGCATGGAATGAATTTTCAAAAAATGCATGTACATTTACGTCTTTTTGGAGCCAGAAGGGCGTTAACTCATATAGTACCTTAACACATAGTAAACACCCTTCTGGCTCTCAACAGATAGTAATTATCATTAACTGGAGGGAGTTGGGTAATCAAAAGGATTTTTAAAACGCATTTTGAGAGCCCAAGTTCATTAACTCTTATCCACATGAACAGGGTTAATGTCATTTCAGCTCTTAACAGAGGGTAAAAACCTGAAGTCTAAATGAAACAATAAACACTTTGCAAATAATACCCAAAACTGAACAGTTATACAGAAAAGTTGTTTTTTTGTATGCATATAGAGCTCAATAAAATATTTGACCTCAAACAAAAATGCAAATGCAGGTGTCATAACCCGAGGTTTCAACTGAAAAAAAATTTGCAATCAAATTCATGGAACCTGTATACATACATGGCGCTCAATAAAAGCAACCTTCAATCTGCTTCAATGCACTGTATCAATTTCTTTGACACATTTATTTCAAAAGATGGCCTGAAGATGATGATGATAATGAAAATGTAAGGGATATATCTTGTTGCTCGCAGCCTTTTTACAATAAATGAATACGTACATGGACTTGGGGCAATTTTCATTATATAAATTGTGAAGAAAACCTCACAGGTTTTCAATGCAGGCTCAGCATCTTCTTTTTTTTTAAATGGTTTTAATACTTGAATATCCCCCATATTAAGTTTCTGCACAATGATTGTTCCACAGACATTCCAAGAAAAGCAATGTAAAAGACAGTGAAGCAGAAAGTTATTAAGATCTGGAATGCTAGCTCAAAAGGAATTCATGAACTCTAAAAAAATTAGGGTCAGATTATAAAGTCACCCCCACTTAAAAACGCAAGCTCTTGGATTCATAGACATTTTATGCAGTACATTATCCTTCATTGAAGGACGTTCTGCAGTAATGTTCGCAATAATGTTCGAGCGCACCTGAGCTGTACGTGCAGGGCCAGCTAATCATGTATTTACTATGCATGATACCAGGAACTCCAGGCACTGTGCATGATGAATACATAACCAGCTGGCCCTGCACAGCAACGGTGCGCCTGAACATTAATGAGTAACGTCCTTAAAGGGGAAGTCGACCATGATTTTAGGTGAAAGGAATAATATGTAAGAGGCACTTAGCACGGATTTGTGCTTTAAATTTTGTTACGGTACATTATGAAAAATGGCCTATTGCCTTCCTTCCTTACACACAAAGATTGGTTTCATTTTGATGCAGCATTTTTTTTAAAAAGTCATAGCATGTTTACTGTGTCATGGGTGAGCAAGATTTTCAAAATTCAAGGATGGAGACCTGA